CTTTGGAACTGAAATTATTCGAGTGCCATAAATTCTAATCAAGGCAACTCCAATTTAAAAACAAGCAAACAACAACAAAAAAGAAATATATATATTTCTTTACAGAGTAATACAAGGGATCTACTAACAAAACATAATCAGCTAGAAACAACTTCTACCCTGTTTCTCTGCAGCACGGATGGCTGTACAGAAAGATGCACACAGTTCTGAAACATGGGTAGCAAAATGGGAAAGGAAAATAAAGTCCCAAAGCCAACACAGGGGTTTGAAAACAAACCCTTGTTTATGTAAATGTGTGCAGATTCATTTAACTCCCATAGCCCCGCTCCATATTTCAAGCATACACAGCATTAGGAAAAGATCAAAAGCCTGCTAATGAACCAAAGAAAACCACAGACTTCAGATCCAGCCCAGGAAACCTAAGATTTAATTTCACTGGAACAAAACCTTGCCAGCAAAGTAAGAAGAAAAAAAAAAAAAAAAAAAAAAAAAAAAAAAAAAAAAAAAAAAAAAAAAAAAAAAAAAAAAAAAAAAAAAAAAAAAAAAAAAAAAAAAAAAAAAAAAAAAAAAAAAAAAAAAAAAAAAAAAAAAAAAAAAAAAAAAGAAAAAAAAAAGGTTAGCAGTCAATTTTTTTTTTTTCTGTCCAGCAATAATTAAACAGGAAACACTTGTGCTCCACAATTATAGCCTTGGTATTGCCCTCACTATATACTTACAGCTTTATTTATTTTGATAAGTTTGATGCAAAGAACTACAGACTCAATCTCAAAGAGTAACTTTTTACAATACAGGAAAATTACCTTAACATGCAAGTGCACTTCCAGCATTTTTTTAGCATCATCTAATTATGCTGCAAATTACCATCAATAAAGGATTAATTAAGGACTGGATCTAACTCCAGGAAAGTCAAACTGAGTCCACAGGGGCTTTTGATGCTTGGACTAGCCACTTCACTCTTGGGATTTTTACTGTACAGAGAATTTTATAAACGACACGCCCCAGGTGTCTACGCCAACTTTTCAATCTCAGCGGTTTATTACACAGATAAACACGAAAAGGGTTCTTCTTCTTCTAAGGGTTTTTCAGAGCAATACTTCATAACACATACTAAACTTGTTTGAAAATATAGTATAAAATGGCAACTAGGATTAATTACCTTAGGATCAAATCCCAGCGTTCTTAATCAAGAGAAAATACTACTTAACACTAACAAAAGCTTCCTCTAGCTAGCACCGTGGCATCTGGCCTGGGTTACTATTTTGAAGGATATTGCAGAGTAAGACAAGTTGATTCAAAAACGACACCACCTGGAATGCAAAGCGCCAGACTCAGTTTTTCTGTCTCTTAATTACATCCTATGGTTAAAATAGGAGATATTAATTCACAAATATTTTAAAGATTAAATAATAATACACCGTAAGATCTCCTGCAAAGCAACTTTGCCTCATACTGTACAGCAAAATAGCGATTTCTGCAACCAAAGCACTGTAGCTGTGTTAACTACACATTTCAAAACTGTACTTCTGAGCTGGTGTGTTTCAGGATAAAGTCCTTTATCGATATTTTGCACTTCAGAAAGTATTACCGACCATTTTTTCTACTATTTTCTTGTTTCATACGACTTCAGTATCAAAAGTCTTTTGCATGCAGATATGCAGATTCCAGAAAGTCCACTGGTATAAAAGCAGAAGTGGAGGATTACAGAGCCCCAGACTACAGGACAGAATTCTCTTTCAAAAAGAAACAAATTAAAAAACAAACAAACAAACAAACAACCAAAAAAACAAACTAAACAAAAAACCCAATCAAATCACCACCGGCAGGAGAAAGAAAGCCGGCAAACAACAAGCAAGCACAGCCCCTTTATTCACAGCTGCTCCTGTCATTACTCATTGGTAACAACTGCACCACAGTGACAAAGTGCATCTTCCCAGACACCTGTACGCCCGTTTCAGGTGGGAGCTATTTCAGATCATCACAAACTACTTATGCTGGTATTTCTGAGACTCAAAATGCTGCAGAATTCATTTGCTTTGTCACTGATAGCAAAGCACCCAGAAGAGAAACGAAAGTTTAGCGCACCTTTTCAAAAACAAGTACAATTAACTGTACTCCTGCGCTTTCCCCACTGGTATCAGGTACCAAAGAGCTGCCATTTTTACAATGCGCTATTTGCTACCAAAATAAAAAATCAATACCCACTGTTTCTCTGGCATGCAGTGAAATACCAAACCAAGAAAGTAGGAGAATAAGGAGGTGGATTTTAGGAAAAGGTACAGGCAAGCAATACAGGTGTTTGCAGAAGTAAACTCATCCATCAAAAAAAAGCTAAGCAGAATGTGTTCAGTAAAAGAGAAGAAAGCTCTTCACATCTCATCATTTAACTCCGTCCATCTGTGTGAAAACAAGACTCGTGAAATATCACTAACATCAAACGTTGGTCATTCATTCCAACTAAATCAGTACACGATTTTCACAAATTTTTCAAAAAACATGAAAGCATCAATGTAGAACAACTTTGTTCTCTGTGGACCTGTCTCCTCTCCTTGACTTCCTAAAATGCTCCTCCCTCTCCTGCTTAACAAATTTGGGGAAATTTTTCGCACAGCATGCATTAAATGTTTCATTGTAAAGCGAAAATTTTTATCTCTGACTACATGAAAGAAAGTTGGAGGAGAAAATTGTCATTGTCTATGCCAACATCTGTCAATAAGTTCACAATAATTTCAGAGACTGCAAAGAAAAGTCCAAAGTATGCATTCCTAACATGCTATTCATAACATTAAACAAAGAGAAACAACTATAGAGTGATGGTCTATGTTTATGTATCAGAGCTTTAAACAAAACTACGCTTATTTATTTTTAGCCTTTACTGCAAATCTGTCTTAAGGGATTTATCCATGACATAATGGCTAATCATCTTTACTTTACATTTGCTCAGTTTGATGCTCAAATTTATCAAAATAGGCCCACTGTTATTTATTTTTATGTTCTCGAAGTTGCTAAAATGAATTGACAAGAGTAGCTGCTAATAGCATCAGTCATAATTGTAACAAAACCTCAATAAATGGTTCATAAATGTTCATAAGTTCATGCTGAGGCAGTTGAACTATTTCTCCTACTTTTTTTCCTTGGGAACATCTTTTTAGCAGAATAAGAATCAGGCAAGCAAACATCTTACCCTCGCCAATACAAACAGCACAATATATTAATTTGTTGCTTTTTCAATAATGCTTTTAGGGACATAAATTATATTTTCAGTCCAGAAAGCGACAAGATATGCTTGCACATCATTTCTGTACCACACACAGCAACTCTGATTAAAGTATCTGTGTATATTTCACTACCACTGTAGAACACCCAAATGACAATGGCTAAAAAAATATCCTACCCTTTATTAGAAGACTTGCCTGATTTAAAAACAGCAGACATTTTCACTATTCTCAAATTAAGAGCCCATTTTTTGCTTTGTATATGCCTTGCTATACTTAATAGATGCATCCTAAACATTTGAGCAAATGAAACATAAACAGAGCTGAAGATATTTACACTACTCTACACAACTAATAGCCCTCTGAATTTTACACATTCTAATTCTTTCCTGGAAGAAATAGGCTAAAACAATTATTATATGCTTTTTGAACATTCAAACTGCTAATGGAAATTATGTTTTCCATGGAAACAATGATTACTAAGAGGGTGTTTAAAATGGATGTGATATTCAGTAATGGTCATTACTGCAATAGAGAAATTAAATTTTAGGATTTTTAATTATTATGATTTTCCCATATCTGTACTGAAGTTATTTAGTCAAACATTTTGTACTGTATCTTTCAGCAATGGGTAAAGAACATTTTAATATAAAATTGCATGTATTCCTTTGTTTTAAAAAAAAATCTTGCAGCTGTTACTGTAGCTGGAATACTGAAATCTGAATACTGCTACAGATTTCCTTACAGATTATGAAATCAAAACTTCAACCTTAGAAAATGGGCTCTCACTGTCACTCCCTTAAAGCTGCATTCTCTCTAAACAAGATCTTTTTCCCTTCAACTTCCACCTATAGAATAATGAAAAATAAGGAAAAGCTCCATTTCTATTAAGGTTTGTCTCAGGTCACAAAATGGAAATGACTAAAAAGGACTCCTTCAGGGGTGCAGTTCCTCTAAACCCAAAATGTCACTATGTACCATGCTGTGCTGCTCCAGCTCACATATCTATCAACATCTATCACTCAAGCACGCACCTCCACAGCTCTGCTCCCTTTTCTGATTAGAGATCAGAGTTGCTTGAGTTGGCTTACAGGGTGTCATCTGTTTGAATGACAGATGTCTGTGTTGGAGTGCCACTCTTGCTGCTTTTGTTTTGATTGCGAAAGGTTACACTTATCTGGCACAATTTAGAATATTCAAAAACAAACAGAAATTGAAAAGGTAATTTCTCTCTCCACGAGGATGAAAAGAAATATTTAATTTCTAATTTTAATTCCAAAAACCTTAGCTCCACATGCATTACCATTGCTAGTCTTTGTTTATTCAGTACAAAGTGTTCTCTATGAGCATGTTTTGGTTCTCTTCAGCCAGTTTTATTTTTACCATTTAAAATTATAACTTTTCAGTTTAATCCAGCCTCCAAAGAGCTGGTAGCACGTGAGACGCACCAGCACCTAATGCAATAAATGTTAATTAAGTACTTGAAAATGATCCCCCTCTCTATTATTTTATATTAGAGTCCACGAATCTGAAAAAAAAAAGACAAAACATCTGCAACTTGCATAAAATATGTTCGTTGTTAACAAAAGTTTTCAGGACTGACGCTGTCATTCTGGTAACCAGTTGCAACGGGAGCCGAGGGCTGTACGCTTGCATGCTCCAAGCTACTCCTTCCTACTTACAAGAAAATTGAGCGAACAGGAAAAAAAAAAAAAAAAAAAGAACAGGGGGAGATTGCTCTTCCGGACAACATGGTAGCAGTGAAATGAAATACCTAGACAGACTTACCGAAGAGCTTGCTGGGAGTGTCCTCGCTGTCATTTGATTCCACAGGCGCAAGCAAGGGCTCATTCAGCTCGTTGTCTGAAGTAGCTGCCTTGTCCTCACCTCTCAACTCTGCATTCATTTCACTCCGCAGTGACAGCAAGGGCTTACTGACTTGTCCAGCTATCATTGGATCCTAGGATGGGGGGGAAAAAAAAGAGTGAGGGGGAAAAAAAAGTGGCAGCTTTGGTGTGCGTATACTGTCTCTTCCACTCCCTCTCTTACACACACACACACATACATACACACACTCTCTCTCTCTCCCTCTCTCTCTCTCTCTCTCTCTCTCTCTCTTATCTCTGGCTGCTCCTGCTGTTATTGCTGGCTGCAGTCAAGTGAAGAGCTATTACAGATCCAATGAGTTTTCCATTACTCCCCACCCTATTAAAGCTCAACTAGCATGTGAGAGATTCAGGATGCTTTGGAGAAAAACTTCTATGAAAGCAACATAACCAACACAGCTTTAATTGTGGGATGTGCTTTTTGTGTGTGTATGTTTTTACACCTCACCCTGTCCTTAACATAGTAAGAAAAGCAATTCCTATATGCTCCAATGCTATGGAAGAGGAGCACCCTGTGAGCGTAGAGTGATTTAAAGAAGCAGCCTCAGCTGTACAACATTAACAAAATCAAATGCACAGTTTTTAGTATTCCATCATATCTATGAAAATACACAGCATGAAATAGCCATTTCATTACATATATTTAACAGAGTGACAGATTTCTAACTATTCCTGTCTCTGGGATACTATGCTCCAAAAGTCCATAAACACAAAAACACACATTTTTCTTTTGAGAATAAAAACCACACAAGACATTTTCTAAAAGATAAAATTAGGGAAGATACTTACACATACGGTTTGCAATTATTCTTGTGTTTGCGACATCATATCCCACATAAAACATTACACATACATATATACATTTAAGTTTTTTCTTGATGATTTGAATCTGTCTTATCTTCTGCTCACTGAGGACATTTGGGGGTCAGGCATTATTTCCAAGCACACTCAATTATTCCATTTGTAAACTAATAAGCATAAATCGTGACAGCATGGAAAGCAGAGCAAAAAAAAAACTAAAAAAAAAAAGAAAAAGAACAAGTGACCTTGTTGCTCTCTCTGGCAGCTATTTATTGCAAAGTTCATGCCTAAATGGCTCTTATGCAGAGAACAGGTGACCAGCGAGCAAGTAGGTTGGCTAGCATGTTCCCTCTGTCCCGTCCTCACATTGGTCGATGTTTGCCTATGGGTTTTTTAATGTATTCATGTCTGAAAAGTGAATTTGATATGACACATGATAATCTATGAAAATGTTAATCAATACAAATAGTTTAAGCTGTCATCAAATGCACTTCTTTAGTCAATACTCATATTGCCGAAAACAATGTCACTGTCACCAGGGCTTAATTTGCACAGCACTTAAATATTGGACTCTGTGCATCAATGCACTCCTCTTCAAATACTGTAGGTAAACACATTTTCTCCCTATTTAAGGCTGAAGCACTCAGCACGCATTTAGTTGAGCCGAATCCTCCCTTTTGAATACCTTGATAGGTCCACTGGAGAGCAAAATTAATACTTAATTGAATCTCACAGTCATCAAAATAATCAATACTTTTTTATTATTTATTCTTTACAGTCTGTTGACTGTTTCAAACCTCTGAGGGAATGGAGGAAAGGATTCATGGCTTTGAAACACTGTCATTTAACAAGGTAATTTTCAGTGGGGCATTAGAGGTTGTGAAACATATAATAAAACAAAAATGGTGGCTTATAATGGGAAGAAAGAAAAGAATTATATTTCTGCCATCTAACAAAACAGGATAAATAAAAAAAGCAAGTGCGAGCAGGAGAGGGAGAAAGGAGGGGGAGAGGGAGAGAAAGACTGGCTTTTGAAGGGTTTTATCATATCAAGAGCAGAGCTGAGCTTTCATAATGCTGACATTTCTCATTCTGACAATCCTAAACAAGTGGAAAGGATGAGATCGCAGATATCATCTTTCATCACATTCCCCAGCTTAAGAACCAACATGACAGCTTCTCTCCCCTTTACACTGTTAATTACTAAATAAAATACTGCTCTCTGTCAGCATTAGATTATTGCAGATAGCAACCACAAACATTACTCCATTGTTTTGTTTTGCCTTTTTTTTTTAAAACCAGTGATACCTGCCTTGAACTCTTCAGAAAATAAATTAGGCTTGTGTCTACATATTGTAAATATATGAAACATAATCAATTTAATCAATGTGGTCAATCCATGTTATTGTCAGGTTAAATTGCTGGTGATTTATTAACGTTTCATTTACTGTGTTTATTAGGCAGCAACAATCTGAACATTTCTTAGATGTTTCTGGAGAGGAAACAGAAGTCAACAGATTTCTTCTGCAGACACGGTAAAAAAACTCTTACTTGTTTTATCTCATATTCATACTGCACTGTGGACAGTCATTTACTGGGGTGGAAACATCTGTTTGTTTACTTTCATATACTAAATAATGTATTTTAGCAGATTTTGCAGCTAAAGGTCATTGTGAACACAAACAGCACTATTTCGAGGTCTGTGCTGCTGCTCTCAGTTTCAGCTATTCAGAACTAACATCAAGATTTGATACTAACCTCCATAACAGTTGGGAATCAAGACAAAATTTGACCCTTTTCATCAAAGTGGTTTGGGGAGGGAACTAATCCTGTCCGCATAGCTATACTCCTAATCTGGGGACTAACAGCAGTTTAACAGTGGATGCTGCATCAGTGGGATTCTAGATTAAGTCTAAGACTCTGAAGTTGAATACACAACAAATGGGAGGAAGAAAAATGTGGGAAATGTGACAGCACTGGGAGAAACCTCAGCCCTTAGATATACAGCCCCTCCGGTGGGGCTAAGACCTTACTTGTTATATATACCAATAATTTGGCCTCGTCTGGAGTACTTTGTTCATTTCTGGGTAGCCCATCTAAGAAAGATACATCAGAAAAAGGTGTGGTAAGATTGATAAACTGATGGAGAAATTGTGAGTGTTTACAGAAAAGTGTGACTAAGAACGAGCATGATCAAAGGATAAAGGATAATAAATGGCAGGGAGAAAATGTAGATCAGTTCACCTTACTTCATCCGAGGAGAAAAGGTGTCTCCACTGAAATGGGAAAAAGTCATAAATCTAATAATAATAAATGATACTTTTCTAAACAGTAAGTGGTGGAAAAGCTGTGGAACTGACTGCTGCGAGGTATCACTGAGAGCCGCACCGCTCTAAACACCGACATAGCCAGTCGCATGGCTGGGCAGGCTCTTAGCAGTGAATTTCAAACAGCTTTGCAAACACACAGGCAAGGACTATAAAAACTGAAATAACACAAACTGCTGCCGCCTCCCTCAGACAGTACCGGAACCTGTAGTTAACCCCCAGGGTAGCTCTCTCTGTCAGGTGGTAAATGAACAACAACTTTCTCTATGAGCGGACAGATTAGATACTGCCCAAATTTCTGGTCTACATGAAGACTAAATAAATCACTTAAACGATGGGTTAAGGGAAGGTTTGTTTCCTTGAAAAACTTATTTTAAAATGGACATTTTTAAGCTTCAGGCTATCTCCTGACCTTCACACTTTCTGTGCCTAAGAATGTGTCTGTTCTGCAGTGAATTATGCATAATTAAAAACTATTGCTTTTATAAAACATATAACAAATCCTAATTCCAGTGTACAGCAAGTGGCCTAGTCTGCAAAATCCCTTGTGAACAGAGGGATTGTTCCTATATTTCCCAATGGCCTCCCCAGAAAAAAATCCTGGAGTAATTACTACGACAGCTGCAGGCACAGCAGTCTTCTCCTCCTCTTCTGCCCTCCTACAGGTCCATTCCAGAGAGGACCCAGGACATGGAGTGGATACACTGAGGCAAGGACGTGAGTACACATCTTTTATGGCTAATACTGTCAAGATCTGTTCTGCTGCACTGGATGTCTGTTGGCTCGATGCTCAGCATTTGCTTTTTGGAAGGTGTTATAAGTCAGATTACACTTTGCACTGTAACACAGGCCCTTCCATTGACCGACAGACACACAAAAGTTTAAGCTTCTCATATGCAAAATTGAAAAGTCTAAGAATGCATAAACCCAGCGAGATGAACTTTGTAAAAAGGGTTAATATGCTTTAAGTAAGAGGCATGGGAACGTAACAGGGGAATTTCAAAGTTCTAGTTATGAGAGAACTAAGGAATTACGATTCCTTTATTCAAATATACCTGTATATACCAGACACCTACTGACAAATTTTGCACACGTCTCTTGCAGATACTCATATAACTTGTCATCTATTTCTTGTCCAACTAGCACTGGTATTTCCAGACTTGCCTGTTTTCTGTGAGATTTCCCTGACAGCTCTGTGCTGCAAGTGGTCCTCCCTGCTGTGTGTCTCCCTTAAGGGTGGCTCATACCTTCTGTAATTCAGTCGCAGTACCTGCTACACCACTGCTCAGCCCTGCCGCTCCCTGATGACTTAAACTGGCTGTTGGTCTTAATTTAACACTAAAAATCAGGTAGATTTGCCAATGCAAATTGCAGTTCTAGTAACACGCCCTCTTTTAAAAGCTAGAACTTTTACTTTTTTCCTATCTGCAGCACTGCAGGGAGTACAGGAGAACATTTATCACCATGTTAAAAGCTTTGCCTTTGCACTTTAAGGGTAAAGGTGCTGCTTCAAAGCCAAACTATTTAGTAATCAAAGAGCTTTTAAAGGAAACTGTATGGGTTTTGTGTCAAACGTGCCCTAGGCAGAAGCCTAAAAATAAGAGAATTAATTACTTTTTTCCTTAATGCAGGACTTGGGTGATAATAGAGCTTTATAATATACTGATTTAGCCAGTGGTCTAAATTTTGTACTTCACCATAAACATTGTTGCTCTGAATGTAATTACTTTTTGAATTTTAGTTCAGAGGAAAAGTAAAATCCTCTGGTTTGCTTTTTATTTTGCCCTTAGTTTGAAGTTACTTTGCATGGACTTTTTTTTCCTTGTTTAGAAGTACTTGAAACCAATTTTCTGATTTTGGCCAAAATATGAAATAAATCCCATTTCCTCCCTTCCTCCCATGTCCCTCCCTCCCCTCCCACACCCCAATCCTGATCTTGTGCAGAC